GGGGGGGCTGACACAAGGCCAGGCCACGTGAGGGCCAGCCCGCGGCCGCCCCGCCTGCTGTGGGCTGCTGATGGGAAGCACATGGCCGGGGTGACCGCAGGAGCTGGCTGGTCCTCCGGTCCCTCGTGTCTGCACCACTGCCTGGGACCCACAGCACCACAGGACCAGGTGACTCGATGGGTGGGAGTCCTCCAGCTGTGCCAGGAGGACATTCACAGCCCTGCCCAGGGAGTGGCCGCCTTTGGAGCTGAAGGGAAGGGAGTCCTGGGTGGACACAGTCCCTCTACCCTCCCCAAAAGGCTGGGAGCTCCCACAGTGAGCTGCATGTATATTTGCAAGTTTAGTTCTCTGGAAAACAGCCTCCCCCCAAGTCCAGGAATGGCTTTCCCTCTAGCTTCCACCATGCCTGAAATTCCCCCAGTGGCCCTTCTCAGAGGGGACACTGAAGGTGCAGAACTACTGGCCTGCACACTCCCTCCCAGGCCAGAGCCAAGCTGCTCCCCGGAGGAGCGGGTCCCCTGCTTCCTGAGGTGCCCTGCAAGCTTCAGTCCTAGGGTGGCCCACGGGCCCTCCTGCCTGGGGCATGGCATCTCTTGAGACCCGTCATTGTCCTCCTGCCTCTGCATCTCCTCACGGGACCACCAGGCATGAACTCGGGTTTGGCACACACACAGTCATTCATTCCTTCCACTGAGCTCCTCTCCTGGGTGCCAGCCACTGAGCCAGGTGATGGGGACACAGCAGGGAACACTGCCTCCGAGAGCTCCCATCCAGAGCGGGGACCAGCAATCAGTAGATGCAGGGCTCCTGGACTCCGCCCGCCTCCATCCTGTGGGTTTAGCCCCTTCTCCCTATATTAGCATTTTCTCTGCCCCCTGAAGCTCCTGCCTCTCCGAGTTTCCTTGACTTTCACCCTTAGGAAGCAAAAATCTTGTGGGCCCGGTCACCCTACCTCCAGGCATTCGGAAGGGTCAGAGATGAAAGACTTTTCACATTACCAAAAAAAAGCAAACTTAGCGAGTTTTAAAAACAAGAAAACAACTTTTCAGAAATGTTCCAAAAGGGAGAAAAAAAAAAGATGGCTTTTTCAGATTGTTTTTTCTCTCAGAAACATTGCAGAGTTGTTTCCCTTGCTTGGGTTTAGGGTGGGGTCAAGGAAGATGGGGAGCTACCAGCAAGATAAAAGGTGTTTTTCCCCAGCCTGGAAAAAAAAAAAAAAGCAGAAGAGATCCACAAATACTGTTTTCTTCAGCCACCTCTGTGGTGAGAACATAAAATTTGTGTGGCATGTTTTGTGAAGATCCCCACAGTGAAATACTCAAGGGAAAGACCCTTGAACTTGTCCTCCATGACCTGTCCAGGGAATGACATTGCTCAGTGGAAAAATGTTTCCCGGGGAGACCAGAGCGTCCGCTTCCTTTGGCTGTGTCCACCATGGGGATTCCAAAATGTTCTGATCTCAGGTTCCTTGTGGTGGCTGTTTTCCCCTACAGGGGATGTAGGAAACAGAAACCAGAACAGAAAGGGGTGGGCAGGGTCAGGGGGAGAAGGGACAGGCCTGTGTACGTTTAGACAGAATCCACAATTATAACTCAGCTCAGCCCACGCTGACCACGCTCAGCTCAGGCACTGCATCTGGGATGCCAGGGACCCACCCCCAACGGTGAGGAGCTCACTGTGAGGACAGTTTTCAGGACCACGTTAGAATCAGCATTCACAGCCGTGAATTTCTTTTTCAGCTTTCCAACTGCAGTGGGTGCTTTAGACTCACGGACCTCTAAAGTCCCAGCTGGAAGGGTCTTCATAGCTGCCCACACTCCTCAGTTCACAAAGGAAAACTGACCTGCCCAGCCTCACACAGCAAGTCCATAGCAGAGCCTAAGCCAGGAATCCAGGTTTCCTGTTCCTGGCTTTTCCCACAGAGAGCTGTTGCAGCGCTTAATGAGAGATAAAAGGGCTGTGGTTTGCTGGCCAATGTGTCCTTGAACTTGCCACACCGTTGTCCCTCAGTTTCCTCATCACTAATGTGAGGATAATTATAGTACCTGCCTCAAAGAGCTATTCAGAGACTTGTGTGAGGTCACCCACACCCAATGCTTAGAACAGTGACTGGCACGTAGTAAATGCTCAATAAAATATAGGAACTATTACTGTCCTCATCACTGTGAGCTGGACTTACTGTAAGGACTTTTCATTCCTCCATCAACAGGAAGTATTGAGGGCACACCTCTGATTTCAGGGGCTCATAGTCTGGTTGGGGAGACACAAGTAAACAGGCGATGACAGTGCCGGGGGGTAAGCTCTCCAGATGACCCAAGTGAGGACAGCGGGAGGACAGCGGAGCGGCGGCTTCTCAGCTTGCTCAGCCAGAGAGCGCTCCCCCGAGGAAGGCAGCTGGATGTTTCCTGACGGGTGAGGGTCAGCCAGGTAAAGAGTGAGCTGAGGGAACAATGCGTCAGGACTCAGGCGGGAGAAAGAACCTGGTGAGTCCAGAGCTTGGGAAAAGGGGAACAAGGCAGTGAGTTTGAAGGAGGTGTTGTGGGTAAAGAGGGCTGGACAGGAGTGGAGGGGTAGAGAGAGGACCAGGCAAGGCCTCTCGCCCCTTCGAGGCCTGCCACCGCTGCTCGTGCCTGGGAACCGCCTGGATGTTGGGCCTGTGGACTTTAGGCAAGTCCCTTTACATTCGGGCCTTGGTTTCCCCAGCTGCAAAAACAGCAGGGTAAGTAAATATGATCTCGCAGGCCCCTCCTAATATAAGCACTTTGCCTCCTCTGAGAAACAGCCCACTCCCTGTGGAATGAGCTTCACTCCAGGCTTACGTTCCGCCAGAGCCTGGAGAACAGGCCTTTCCTCTCCCCTCTCCTCTCTCAACCCTGGGTCAACTCAACCCGTGTCTTTTTTTTTGGTCATAATCGAATCCTCACTTCACTGCTTCCAGCTTTGTGGAAAGCCTTGACCTTGGGACAAAGTTCAGGAAGCCAGCCCCGACCTTGGGCTGAGGGCCAAGGTGGGAAAAGAGGGGGTGGAGACCAGTTCCCCAAAGAAAGAGCAGGAAAGGTCAGCGAAGGCTTCCAGGCCCTGGGTCGCGTCTCTGTAGTCCGGAGCGTGTAGGCTGAATTGAACTGAATCCAGGCGTCAGTTTAGACTGCCCTGCAAGGAACTGGATGTCTCCAGGCGGGTAATCGCCCGCTTGAGGAGCTGGGCTGGGCGTTTGCACGGAGAGCGTCGCCATCTAGTGGTCAGTTCTGCTCTGAGCCCTGAGCCAGCTCTCCTGCCTGGATACCCTGGCAGAGGTGTCGCTCAGGGGTCATTTCCCTCCTGCAGGTGATGGACAGCTCAATGCCCCTGATCGGAGAGCATGTGGAAGAAGACAGACAGCTGATGGCCGACCTCGTTGTCTCCAAAATGAGCCAATTCCTGATGCCAGGGAGCACAGTGCCCTCACCCCTGAGGCCTTGGGTAAGGTCCTCGGAAACAAGAGAGACTGTAGCCATGAGAAATGGCAGGCTGTCTGGGAATGGGAGGCCCCTGGATCCAAAGGAGATACCCCCAGAAAGGAACCAGCTTGGGGAGAAAGGAATGACTGTGGACGGAGGCTGGGCATGGGGCAGAGCTGCTCCACCCTGCTCCTGGCGGAGGAGTTTGGGAGATCCAAGGGGTCCTTCGTCTCTCCATCCTGGGGAGAAAAACCTCGCCTCCCATGGGCTTGGGCGCCTGTGGGCAGAGATTATTAATGTCAGAAGTCAGTTGTCCTTTCTGTGCCCTCCATCCTGGGCCTGAGCAGGGTGTGTGGGTGGGTGTGTGGGTGCGTGCGCGCACGGTGAATGTGTCGGTGTACACACATGCCCTTTGTGTGATCCCAGGGCACCGGTCAATAGAGACTATTGTGTCTTCCCTTTCCCCATCCCCCAACCTGAACGAGCTCCCACGTAGCTCCTCCCGTCCACAGTCCTCACCATGGATTACCAGGTCATTCTCCAAAGAATTTGCTAGCTCCCCAGCGTTCTGGAAAAAACAAGTGTCAAAACCTGCTCCCCCCTTTGCCCACAAAAACTTGAATCTGTGATAGCAGACATCTGGGTGATGGTTATACTTAGAGGGCTTGCTGGCTGCGAGGGGCACAGGGCAGCCTCCTCCACTGGAAACGTTCTGTCCGGTTCTGGGTGGCAGTCACGTGGGTGTCTACATGTGCAAGAATTCACTGTGCTGTACACTTTAAATAAGTTTGACCTCAATAATGAAAAGATCTTTGTAAACCCTGCCCTCCCACCCAGGAAGTAAACGACTGTGGTGATCACAACAGGCTTCTTTTCTCCTGCTCTAGGCTCCGCAGAGTAAACCAGCAAAATCCCCTGGGACAGCCCAACTGGGGCCTCCGCTGGGACAGCCCCAGCCACGCCCACCCACACAAGGTAGGACCCACGACAAGCCACCCAGAGGAACTGTCCAGAGAGGGTGTGGAAAGGCCCTGAGGGGTCCATGCGTGATGTCCAGAAGGCACGCTGGAAAAACCCATCTAAATGCTCTATCCCCAGACTGTACCCTCCCTCTCTGTGCAGAATGAATGCGACGGTGAGGTTTGCCACCCCTTAAAGTCAGGAAAGAAGGAAGGAAAGACAACGTAAATTTATTAAGTACCTAGGATGTGCCAGGCACTGTGCTAGGGACTCTCCTGTATATTTTCTCATTGTTGGCTTCCCAGTCACTCTACAGGGAAAACATTCATATTTTCTTTCTGTGGAGGTGGGTGTTGAGGCTCCGTCCAAGGAAGCATGACAAGAAATGGCAGGTTGGCCAGCCGGCCATTTCAGATCTTCTAGAAAGTGTCTGTCTCCCAGCCACCGGAGGTGCCTGATTATAGAAACATGAGCCAACCAGCTAGAATGAGAAAGAAAGAAGGGAATGTTGCCTATGACCTTGTGGACTGAAATTGTTCAAGAAATATTGCAGTGTTACTACTTAAATGCCATCTATTAGGGAATGGGAGAACTGTGGATGGCGTGATGAAAAGAAATCGTGGCAACAGCCCACTTTCTCCCAGGGCATCAGCTGCTTGGTGCTCTCCCATGAAGGCTGGGGACGAGATCGGCCCTGGGTCCCCTCTCGCAGCCCCAGCCTCAGGTGCGCTCGCTGCTCCAGCGCCAGCTTGGGGCTTCGGAGCAGCATTGCATCAGGAAGCGGGCCAGGCAGTTTCTCAGCCGCCCTTGAAGGATCTGCTGTAAAACCTGCCCGAGAGAAAGCATGACCTCCCCGGCTGGGGGCTCAGCTGGTTGGAGCATCTCCCTGTGCATCAAAAGATTTCGGGTTCGATTCTGGTCAGGGCACGTACCTAGTTTTGAGACCAATCCCTGGTCCGGGCTTGTGTGGGAGGCAACCAATTGATCTTTCTCTCTCTTTCTCTCTCTCTCCCCGCCACTCTCTCTAAAAATCAGTTTAAAAACATATTCTCGAGTGAGGATTTAAAAAAAAAAAAAATCCTTCTCTAGGCAAATTATATCCTCAGTTTCCCCAAGAGTAAAGGAGGTTATCACAGCTGCCCTGCTGAGTGAGGGGAGGTGTCGAGGTAACGCAGGTGAAGCAGTTAGCCAGAGTCCGGCAGACGTGGTGCTTAGTAGGTGTTAGCTCCGAGTGCTGAGAGTTGACAACTAGTAAGTTATATAACTCTTACCATTAAAAACCATACTCTTAATAACTTGTCTTACAGGCAATTATAATAAACATATTGTTCTTAGTGATTGTTGTCATTAACAATCCTTATAACTAATGCAGCCTCACCGCTGCCCAGCCTGGCGGTAAGTTCTAACTTAAAATGTTCAGAAACGACTATCCATCCCCCTCCAGGCTCCTAGCTGTGCCTCTGCCCTGCCCTCTCCTTTCCCACTCGGCCTCAGGACTTACTTTTTAAAACACATTTGAACAGAGCACTTTTAAAACAGTGAGCCACTGTACTCTGGTTTCCTCTCAGGCCCAGAGTAGAGACATGCTTGATAAAGAGATATTATTTTAAGGGGCATGAGGCTAAACACAATTTTAGTGAGTTGAAAACTATCCATTTAAAACCAATTAAGATAATTAAAGAAAATGCTCATTGAATTAACATTCAGATTAAAAATAACAAGGCCAATTTTAAAACAATGCTTTCATTGAGTTCCCAAAATAACAAGATCACATTATTGACTTGTTTTTGAACGCAATGTGTGTTTTCAACTCGGTGAAAGTGAAGTTTTCTTCTAATAAGGCCTCATCATTTTTTAGCACCAGTTCTGTGCTTAGGCAAATGCTTTATATACATAAGTTAAAATTTCTTGTATGGGTGCAAATAAAAATGGTAAATAGTTTGCTTTGCCAAGAAGCTGAAATAAATAACTAGAGTGTCTCTTGATGTATCCCAGGAGTGTAATAGAGACTCGACAAATAGTTAATAAGTGAATCAGTGAGCTTCAAGATTTCCCAAGATATTATCAGTGGGGGTGGAGGGGAGGAGACTTAAGATAAAAGCAGAAAACAGATGTTTTCTTTGACCTGCAGTGGGTCTAACAAAAAAAAGTAAACCTGTGTTTTAAAACCAGGAGCTTTTGTATCAACATGTAGATTTGCAGCTTCTCTTGATAGAGCAGGAGCTCTGGAAACAATGGGCCTGGATTCCTGCATAGCAGCCGGCCCCTGACATTTAGTTACAGCTGCTCCCTGGACAGGGTGGGGGTGAGCCTCAGGTCCTCCGCCTCCCTGTTGTCACTGCCGCCGCCAAGAGGGCATCAATGGCTGTTTTCTTTATGCTTGCACCTCTTTAGAGAACTAGGTCTCTGAACTATGCTTCTACCTAAAGTGGAAAAAATTTTAAAGCCGCATGATTTTTCTGACACTCACCTGCTTTATTTATGTACCTGCCTGGCCCTATAGGCGTCTGAGTTTTGAGATCAATGGGTCTTCCAAGCTACTGGACATACAGTGGTGAAAGAGGTAAAGAAAGGATCAAAGCCATGTGGGATCAGTTTCTGGATTGGTGCTGCCATTCGATCCAATCTAGAAAGTGCTGGGCAGGCTCACAGAAACATTCAAACTGAGAGGGTGGCTAGTCCAGTGACCTTATTTTACAAACGAGGGCTCCGAAGCCCAGAGAGATATGACTTACCCACAGTCACATAGCAAGTTACTGGCAAGGCTGGACTCAGGACCTGGGGCTCCTGAGGCCAGCATGGTGAGGCATGCAGGCTGTGCCCTCTGCAAAGGCTACCTGCTGAGATGACGTCTGAGGGGGAGGTCGACCGAAATCTAGTCCTTGCTCCCCTTGCACCTCTCTCAAAGCTGCCTCCACTGGAGGAAACTAGCTCTTCTCAATTCGCACAAAGATGTGTGGACTCAAGGCTGCCATGTGTGGTACAGTAAAAGGGAGAAGAGGGGAAGGAAGGAGAGGGGGAGGAGAGGAAGGCAGGGAGGGAGAGGGAGAGGGAGAGGGAGAGGGAG